CCCCCCCCCGCCCAGTTTTCATAGTTGGACGTACATGCTTCAGTGCAGATCGCTAAAGAATATACACATCTTCTATTAAAACCACAGTGCCACTTTTAGAACTAGGTTCAAGGATTGAATGTCTGTGCCAGGTCCATATGTTACGATCTCTCCAAATGTCTCAGTTCCTACCACCACAGCCATGACCACAACCACGACCACGACTACCACCACCACCACCACCACCAAAACCACCTTATAGTTAAACACAAAGATTTAAAATAAAAAAGAACCAGGGCTGATCCTTCCTTAGGACGCTTATGAGGTTTCTGCTAACTGGTTTTTGTAATCGCCAGGTAACAGAAGTGAACATCTTTGCTCTCGCTGATTAGTATAATGAAACAGAACCAAGGAGAAAATACACATTTTCCCGTTCTGTTAGAAACCTTTTAGCAATAGAGTTCCAAGATGATTACATAAATGTCACGTTCCCTTGTTTTCATGATCGATATTCCGATTTTTAGGCTGCAGCATTGGTGTTGCGACCTGCGAGTGAGTGACTGCCCACCCTTGCCACAGCCTTGGTGCACACAGGAGCATGCGCAGTCTGTGTATCCACCCTGGCTTGGACTTGCTCATGCACCCTCACTCAGGTTCTCTCCCGATTGTAAGAGAAGGCTTCGGGTACCTTCTTTTGTGCCCCCAAAGCATTGGAAAAGATGAGGAGAGGCTTCCTCAAAGATCTTAAAATTTGTTACACTTCATCTTCAGGAAATATAAAGAAATATGTTTGAGTGAAGGAAGCCCGGTCGGTTCCCAGGGGAAAGAGAGTCGGCTCAGCTCACCTGGGACCACGGGCCTCCGACCCCTTCCCCCACCGCCATCCCTGCCTCTAAGGGCATTTACCCAGGTTCAAGCCCGCCTGGGGAAACTGTAGACTCCACTGGCTTGCCGGGTCCCCCGAATGAAAAGGACAGGTCCTGTGGCTCTTTTCTAATTTAGGGGCTATTATTTCTCCCTCTTTGTCGCTGCACCATAAAAATAGAATGTCATTGAGGACCTGCCTCCATAACACACTTGAAAAGAGACTGGGGGGGGGGGCGGGGGGGAGGGGCGCTTGCCTAAGTCTTAAGAATACATCAAGCTCTTGAGGAAGTAGATTGTGCCATGTTTGAAGATACAAAGATAACCACGGTGCTGGGAACAGTCCTGAGGGAGGCGGAAGCCGAACAAGAAGAGGAAAGCAGAGCTTGCCCTCGGCTTCCCACAGGAAGCCCCCGGCAGCTCCTGCCACAGGGAGATAAGAAAGCTCCCATGCACTATTCTGGACAAGGCCACCGTCCGGGCTTCGCTCTGTCCTCCGCAGTACCCCAGGCCCCGGTCTTTTCCTAATGAGCAGCAGGACTCCCGCCTCTATTTGCATACAGCGTTTCAAGCACAATGGGGCGGAGGTATTTATAACCAACGAGAGGAAAATAATTCTGGGGGCAAGCATGGGTTCGTGTCACCTCCGTCCGCTGCTCGGGGGTTGCACAACTTCGTGAGGATCGGAGACCGGCATAAATAAATTAAAAGAAGTCAGCCAATTAGGGGCCGGCATCACGGAGCTGGGCTCTCCATGCCAGTCTGACTGGCTGTGCGTGGGGCAGCTCCAAGTTTCTCGCTCCAGAGCCATTCTCTTGACACAGTGGCGACTGTATGTCCCGTGGGAGCCCGTTCTTGGGTTCCTCGTGGCTTTACCCAGCCACGGTGTTTTAGGCTGGTTTCTTTGTGGGGATGGGTTTGCCCTGTCCCCTCCTGGCTCTCTTATAACCCCCAACAGAGACCAGCCATGCAAGCCAAAGCTCCCATCCCGACTGGACTGGACTGGACTGCGGCCCACAGAACCTGTGTTCCCTTGGGGCTCCTTTTCTGAAAATCACACTTAACCCTCCCACCTCGTGTAGCGTGACACCCACAGATTCTCATCATGTACCAAGAAGTCACTGTGCTCTGGGGCTCTTAAAAAAATGAAGCTTATTTATTCATCTACTTATTTATTTGTGCATTTGTTTATTAACTATTGTATGTTGGAGTTTGCTCCAGTGCGCAGGCCACAGAGCACATATGGAGGTAGGGGACAGGTATACAGAGTCTGTCCTTTCCTTCCGCTTTTACATGGGTTCCAGGGATTGAACTGGGGAGGTTAGGCCTGCGAGGCAAGCCCCTTTTACCGGCTGAGCCATCTTCTCAGCCCCCCAATGCCTCTCTGTGTCTATCAAGAACGCCTTCAGCTCTTTACTAATACCATGATGACACTGGGGAGCTTTGCCTTTTTTGAAGGTTCCCCCCACCCCACCCCCGCCTCCATGACATGGTCAGCTGCTGCTGCTGCTTCTTCTCCTTCTCCTTCTCCTTCTTCTTTTTTGGTTTTTCAAGACAGGGTTTCTCTGTGTACCTTTTGCACCTTTCCTGGATCTCACTCTGTAGACCAGGCTGGCCTCGAACTCACAGAGATCCGCCTGGCTCTGTCTCCCGAGTGCTGGGATTAAAGGTGTGCGCCACCGCCGCCCGGCTCCAGTTTCACCTTATATATTTATTGCTCTCTGAGCTGAAAAATTCTGCAGCTCTTGAAGTCAAGTCCATTCCCGTGACTCTAACACTCACAAGTATGGTGTAGAGTGTGCACCCCAGAGCACCTGCGCGTTGTCTTTTACGCTGGTTCTGGACAACTTTGACTTTCAAATTTCCTCAGGCCTCCTGTCTTTCCTCCCATCAACTAGTCTTGTCTTTCTTTGGAGGGTGGACTGCTGTGTCTGCTGGAGTCAGAAGGCGGAGAGCTGCATGGGCTTTAGCCACTGAAGCAGCGGTCCTCTCATTCGAGAAGTTGGGGGACCGTCTCAGGGCTGAGAGGAGCAGACACAAGTCCACCTAGTTTAATGTGACTCCAGCACTTTAAAGAGCACCCCTGCGGCAGGAATGGAGGGGGCAGTGCTGAGCTAAGTACCCCTGCGGCAGGAGTGGAGGGGGCAGTGCTGAGCTGAGTACACCAGGGTAAAGATAGAGGGGGCAGTGCTGAGCTGAGTACCCCCAGAGTAGGGATAGAGGGAGCAGAGCTGAGTACCCCAATACCTACGGAATGCCTATATTGAATCATTGCCCAGTGTATTAAATATGTATCTAAAACTTATCAAGGAAGAAAAAGCAAGTTCTAGAAAGTTCTCCAAAGCCCCCAGATCCAATATTCTCCTTCTTTCTTCGATTCTGCTCCGGACAGTGAACTATGAGGATGGGCATGGGCTGCGCTCATCTGTTTGATTTTAATGAGGTTTCATGGCTCTTGCTAACCATGGTTAGACTGAACAAAACCAGAATCATTTCAAGTTAGGAAACCAAAGGGCAGCGAAGGAACACCGGGAAAACTGAAGCTGCAAAACGTCTGTAAAACAAAACAAAACACAAACCAGAAAGGAAGAGAAAAACTGCTTGGAGGGCGGCCAGACGGCACACCCAAGGGCCCGGCTGGTGGAGGTCGCCATCGCGGCCTCCGTCCTGCAGGAGGGTCTGATGTAAACATCTCACTGCTACCGTGGGTGTTGTGTCAAAACACTGGTGATAGCAAGCCCGAAGCAACAGATTGATGGACTCTGCCGGCGCTCTTCCCCCTCCTCACCGGCTCTCAAAACAAATGAAGCGCTCTGCGGATAGGAGG